CCACGGCGTCAGGACGTGACGGCGTCCGGCGCGTGGGGCGGCCGAGTCGAGGAAGGGAATGGCGGGGGCGAGCAGGGCGTGGAGGAAAGGGATTTGGGTTTCCGACGTGGCGGAGGGGGCGGGGAGTTGCGAGACGGGAAGCCCGGACAGGCGGAGGAGAGTGGAAGTTGAAGGGTCCGACATTGGGCTTTGGGAGACCATGCAGCGTGAATACTCACATGGAATGGCTATGAGTTGTTTCGCTTGCGGCGGATATGGTGGAGTTGCGCAAAGTTCAATAGAGTCGGATTTTCCAAAGTCTGTTTCGCACTGACCCCCTTGATGAGTGGCATGGCATGCAAACAAGGGTAGTCTCGTATCGTCATCACATCTCCATAACGCCAATCACATCGAGTTGGGCAGGACAGTTGCACCTCACTGTCAGTCAGGTCATTGCATAGGCAATCACTTCGTCAAGCGAAAGCGAGGGGGGAAAAAAGGCATTGTATGCTCGTTTGTGAAGTCTTCATTTCGTCTTGCATTAAAGTCTATACCAGCAGCTCTACAGAGTGAGCTTTCCCCCACCTTAAATTATATACAGCACATGGAAAGGATTACTGCCTGAACCTCTCGCGGACAGGCCAGTACAGACTCACGCCTTTTCCCGTCTCTCGTAGCGAATGTTGACGGGCTCCAGCGGGCGCGAGAACAGCGAGGCGTAGTCGGTGCCGTTGATGTTGCTGCTCCGTCGGCATTGGAAAACTGAGAGCGCCCAATCTCGACTGTAATAGTCTGCAGCTGGACGTTGGCAAACTGCTCACCAATGCAGCGTGACGGCCAGCGCAAAGGGAAGGTAGGGCGAGTTGGCACCCTTGCTAACGAGGCCGTAACCATAGTCGATCTTCTCCTCGTCGGCGCTCTCGGCGCGCGCAAAGGTCGGGGCATTGGGCGAGTCGGGGAGCCAGCGGTAGGGGTCCCAGATGGCGGGGTTCGGGAAGTATGTCGGGTCGGTGGCCGAGGTGCCGGGAGCCGAGAGAAGATTGTGGCTCGTGGGGATGACGAACTTGGTGCCGGGGACGGGCATGGGCGATTTGACCTTGCGCAAAATGGAGTGGATGGGCGCGTGGAGGCGGAGCGTCTCCTTGATGATGGCCTGATTGAGGGGCAACTTGGAGAGATCTTCGTAGGTGAGGGGAGGGAGGTCGGCACCAAAGGCCTCGACCTGCTCCTTGTAGAGGTCGTCAATAACGGCGGGGTTCTGGGCGAGGCGCGCCATGATCCAGGACGAGGTGGAGGAGGAAGAGTGCTGGCCGGCCATGAGGAGAGCGATCATCATGTGCGCAATCTCATGGTCGGGGACGTTGATGCCGTTCTTGTACGTGGAGCGCATGAGGTGGGAGATCATATCGAGGCCATCGGTGCGGCCAGACTCGCGGCGGTCCTTGATCGTGTCCATGAAGATCTGGGCAACGGCCTTCTGGGCGGCGTCACGCTTACGGTTCCAGGGGAGGGGCGCCCAGTGGAGAGCAAAGTTGATGGCGGAGAAGCCCATGTCGAGGTCGTGGTACAGCTCGGCGAGGGACGTGTCGAACTTGTTGCGAATCTCGGAGCCCTGAAGGGCGTGGGAGGCGGTGAAGATGGTGATTTCGGCCATTCTGGGGGGGATGTTGACGACGCCGGACTGTTCCTTGAAGTACTTGCTCGTCTTGAAGTAGTTCTGGACCTCGTGGGAGATGATGGGGACGTAGGAGCGGAAGGCCTCAGTGGTCAAGGCGATCTTCATGAACTGAAAATGGGGAAGCGTGTCAGCTGCTGGTTCGAGGGGCGACAGGGGATGGAAAGCAGACGCCAACCTTCTTCTGCTCCATGAGCTTGGCGTTTGGGCAGTCGTAGACAACATCGCGACCAAAGACGGGCGTAGTGAGGACGCTGTAGATCTCCTCGGCGTTGACGTCGCGCTGCTTGCCGTTGAGGATGAAGTCGTTGCCCTGGGGGCCGACAGCGACGGTGGTCTTGCTGCCGAGGAGAATAAAAGTGAAGACGTCACCGTACTGGGAGTCCAGAATCAGTTCAAGTTCGTCACACGATGATTGAATCACTGGGACGTACCTTTTTCTTGTTGGCCTCGAAGAAGGCGGGAGGGTCCATGCCATAGGTGACGGTGTTTCCAATGAAGGGGAACCAGCTGAAGACCATGGGGGGCTCATTGGGGTTCTTGAACAGGAGCTGGTTGGCGACATGGATGACGACAGAGAGGAGCACGACGCCGAAGACAACGACGCCAACTTGCGACGCGGTGCCGAGGGTCTGGAACTGCTGCGCAGCAGGACCGGTGATCTCTTGAAGGAGACCCATGATGTTGGCGGACCTGTTGAGGGAGGAAAGAAGGAATAGGTGAACCGGCGGGGTGAGGTCGCCGTGGCCGTGACAGACGGGACTCGGTCGTTTCTCGTCTACTCGTGGATCGTGGCCGTCGTCGTCAATGGGCTCGTCGATACGATCAGGAGGTGGTGCGAGACGGTGGGGTTGGTGTATGTCTCGAGAGTGCGCGACGGGTTAAATTATATCGGCAATATTTTCCTTTGGGGGGGTGGAAGGGACTGCGCACGCGAGGTGCAAGGGGGTTCAGGGGCGCTGCCAATTCGCAAAAGCCCATCCATTGCAAGCCGCTAACATCCACAGCAGGGGCTCCACCTCAACGATCCAAGACTCCAGGGTCCCCATTTTGGCAAAGGCGGTCAAACCTTCCGGTACCCAATCATGGCTCCAGCGTATTCGTATCGTCCACGGCCAGGGCCTTGGTTCCGTCTGCACATCGTCTGATAACTTGCGACTTTCTCCTTGATCAACCCATCAGGAAATTTGCTGACCTTTCCCAGCAATGTACGTCGTCGCAGGGCATCGTACCACCCGAATAAGAAGACGACTCTTTTCGGTGCCATCTTGTAGCCCGTCCGCCCCCGACCCATTGCTGAGGCTGCGCTGGCCAGAATTGACCCCTGCCGGCCGCAGTTGATCTTGTAGTCCCTCCCAGTGGCCTGAGCTTTGCCACTTGTTGACGTTGATACCAGGTGGCCAATGACCGCTCTGTAGTTACAGATCGTGGTGTGCACTCTACTAGTGGGAGGCCAAGATTGACTTCTGACTGGCATGTGATACCAACCAGACGTCATCCCGCCTTGTGGCCTGGATCTGTCGCCATTCCCAGTCAACAACGCTCTGCTCGACATTAGCATTGCCGTCAATCACGTCTAGGCAGCATCAAAAACTCTGGATGCCTGTCGACTGCCATACCACGGCTGGTCATTGCCAACTCTTTCACGAATCCTCTGGCATGCGCATCGCTGCTGTCGTCCAAGAGAACAGTGAACATCTAAACTGCCTCTGTTGCAATCCTCCTGCACCTCCTCGAGATACGAATACGACTAACTCAAGTTGCCCTCCGTGACAACGCCCTCAGATGCCGTGCTGCGCCCCTCTACGGACGATCCTGCTGCACGCTACTCCCCACACATATGCACCTGTTTCGGGGTACCTGAAGCTCCCCGAGAGCTGATACGAATACGACAAACTAAGACTTCAAGGCCCAGTATCTTAATCCCAGACAAGTCAAAGCGTGACTGCCTCTCTTCACCTCCCCATGCCAAGAGCATCAAAACGAATACGATAAAACAAGGTACCGAGACCTGTCTTCACCTATCTTGCAAAGACTACTCCGTCCGACCTGTCGAGCATGAAGTGCAGCTACATGACGTGTCTTGTACGCCCCGCTTGGCCGACCTCGAGACGAAGAATCCCAGAACTGTACTGTAGTGACGCGCAGCTTTGCATGTGAAATAATGGTATTGTAATGAACTAAGTACCGTGAAGGTACTAGTAACGACCGACGCCGGCTATGGCCCGCCTCCCTCTGACGCAGCGATAAAGTTCAATCTGCCAGGGCTTTCTCTCCTCTCTATGCTTCGAAACAAAGAAATAACGACACCCAACGCCTGTCACAGATCGACGACTGACCACCTCTGTATGCTTCTGCGCATATTTTCCCGACCACACCGCCGCTCAAGAAGTACGCGGCCTACCATGACAGGGCTGTCCATCCATAATCTCCGTCGACATTGACCCAATTGTCCTTCTCCATGGCTCGCTCCCACCCCATCATGACTGCCAACAGCCGACAGCCCATGGCGCTCACTGTGCAAATGACACGTCGCTCGATCCTGACACACGGCGAGGTCAAGCATGTAGGCGCGTCCTATGTAGCTGCGCAGGCGTACCGCATCTGCTGTGGGTTGCGGCTTCTCGGTCTGCCCTGCAACTCCGTTGGCTGGGCTCTGGCCAGACTGCCCTAGACTCCAGAACATGGGTGCGAAGAAGCCACCCTCCCAGCCAAAAGAATCGTCCACAAAGTGGTGCATGACGCGAGGGTTTGGATTGCCCTTCTGGACCTCCTGCTTGCCGGCTAGGCGGATGCGGTCCTGCGCCTGATGAGCACCCCTGAACTCCTCCGACTCATAAACCATAGGGTCGTCAGAGGCCATAACAATGAGGGAATGCTCCTGGGCAGGGACGTCATCTTGACCACCCCTGCCAGCACCCTGGTAGCTGACTTCTATGATGTGTCGCGCCTTATCCGTAAAGGCGTTGATGGGGATGTAGGAGCTGCGGTATTGGTACTCCAAGGGGTGGCAGTCGCCGTGTCGGACGTGCA